TAAAGCAAAAGATTAAAACCTACAACCTGTCCCAAAAGGACACATGATTTCTCACATATTCAAAATCAACATACTGCCATTGATAGAGGGAAGAAAGAAAAAGAAATCAACCATAAAAATCCATGAGAGGCTTAGTATACATCTAGTCATCCCCTGTGTAATATATCTTGCTCCACGTGTCAAGCTGTCATCCTCCTATAAAACAATCCGCCAAGTTTTTTTTAATGCATTCCTCCCATTCTCATAAGTTGAAATCTTAACCATCTCAAAGACTGAACGATAGAACATGGAACTTATCAATATGTTGCATTCTTCTAAATTCAAATGTAGACTCTCTTCTTTGTCAAGTATCTTTTAATAATATACGATTAGAATCAAGCATTTTACTATGATCTTTACCCAAACAAAAATTATAAAAGCCACAGTTTGCAACAATTAAATCATGCATATAAACCAAGCAAACATTGCAGCTTTCTTACAAAAAGTCAGTTTTAACATATTTACAAAGGCTAAAAGTAGCCACCAGTATTCTTCTATGACCTGCCTCATCATTTTGACATGGTAGTGCTGGGACGATATACCCCCCCCCGGCTTCTCCCCACGCTTAATTCCTCAATTCATTTGATTTTCATTTCTCTCATTTCTCTCTCTCTCTAAACTCTCTCATTCGGCCTCTCTCCCAACTCTCCAAGGAGGAATTGAGAATTATGAAATTGTGTGAGACCCCGAAATTTTACTTGTCTTTATAACCCTTATGTGAACTCACTTACCTTTGATTCTTGGTTGCTTTAATTGTTGAATTTGAGTCAAGGGAGTGAATTTTGTTAAGAAAAAGTTCATAATCTCAAGTTGTTAGAAAATCTAGAAATTTTCGCAGGAGGCTCTGCGCAGCTTTGGGAAATTGGCTATAATTTTGTATAAGAAAGTCAGAATTGAGTTTCGTTTGTTGCGTTTGAAACTAGACTCATAGATCTTCCTACAGTGTAAAATTCAGAGTTTGATTCAATCTCTATAAATTCTAGGAAATTGGCAAAGTTGACTGAAAATTCTGCCCTGCACAAGTAAACATAGGAATGTTGTAGTAGTTTATGGCTCAATTTGGACAAACTTATGAACTGAATTTCTTTGAGGTGTTTTCTAAAGATTATTAGTATTTGAAGTCTAGTTTTTAACATGCCAAATTGTATGAATTTTTGATATCTATAATTCAAGTTATGATTTTTCTAAAAGAATGGCATAAGTTAGGGGTTTTTGTGCATACTAGGGTTTTTGGTACATTTTGGTCGTGTGATCACTTGGTGAGGTATGTGTACTAAATTTAGTGGTTAAGAGTGAGTTTTAGATAAGAAAAAGTGTGTGATTAGAAGTGATAATAATAAGTTAGTGAACCATAAGTAAAAACACAAATACATGCGAGTTAAAGAAAATAGACTTGAATCGACGTGCACCGTTTGCTATCGAGTGAGTACACCACTTGAATATTACTTTATTACCTTAATCTTCTTGTTTTTAATTGAGCTAATTAGCCCTTAATTAACCCATAAGTTAGCCACCATTATTGACTAAGGGAAAGGAAGAAAAGAAAACAAAAACAAAGAAAGATCTTGAGCGACAAGTGTTGGCAATCCAACGGTTGTTTGACTAAGACAAGTTTCTTTCTTTTTATCTTTCTTCTTGGCCAACTTTGCTTCATTTCTTACTAGCATGGCCGAAATTTTGGAGAGGGAAAGAGAGAAAACAAACTTCAACTCCAACCTTAGATTTTGCCTTGTTTGAGTGAAATCAACCGAACTAAACCGATTAAACTTCTCTTTTGGTGGTTGGAAAGCTTTGTGTGGTAAAAGTTTTGGAAGAAAAGGGTATGGTTTTCACTTACAAGCAATTATTGGAAGGTATCATGATTTCATTTCCTTTTCTCTTCCTTAATCTTGTTTAAATTTGGATAGAAGCTTATGTTCTTGGCTTATTATGATTAATGATTCAGTTTTGGATGATTTAATGGAAGGGTTAGCTAGGGTTTACATTTTCAGCCTTGATTATGGTTGTCTACCTAGTAATTGATGGTATTGAGCAAGTAATTGATGGTTTTGATGATATAGGACTTGATAATGTTGAGCTAGGATATAAATTTTTAGAGTAAAAGTGAATTTCCAGTTTTGATGATGAATCTGCCTTGTTTCTGACCTGCATATTCGTCCATGATAAAGCCGAATCAGATCTTGCCCAAAACATAAAAGTTGTAGGGAATGGAGTTAACTATTTTCTTATAAAATTTCAACTCAATCGGAGCACTGTATCATGTGAAATGACTAAAATACCCCTGACTGCCCAAAAGCCCTATTTCACAGGCAGCTTTCTGTTTTCTCTGAAATTTCACATTTTGACCTTGAAAATGCATGAACTGGGTGTCGATGTTTTCATAAGAAATGTAGCTCTCTATCTTAGCTTCGAAACGTCATAAAATGTACCACAATCCGATAAGCGTAGTTTCAGTTGTGACCAAAATGCCAGAAGGTGTCAAGCCTACTACTTGGTTATTCTTCTTTAATACTAATTTCCAACTTTGATTTTTGGATTGCATTGCTAGAATTGCTTTGTATTTGGATGACATTAAGTCTAGTTGAAGGGCTATTGTATTAAGATTATTTATGTGTGAATTTGGGCTAAGTTGAGGAAAATAATAAAGTCATAAATGGCTGAAAAATAGCTAAATACAAAGGGCATGCCGCCCAAATTTTCACTCGAGGGTTAGGATCGAGTACTCGCGAATTGAGCGAAGATTTGAGGTCGAATTAAACTTGAATTGTCTAGGGTATTCGAGTCGTCTTTCGTAGAGGTATATAAACTGAAATTTGGCCGAAACCCGTACCCTTGAAAAAATGAAAGTAGTGACCACTTGAAATATGTTTTTCTCGTCTTTTGAACTTAAATGCGAATTCTAAAGTTTTAGTTGCTTCTTTAGCAACACCAAAAGAGCGAGCATGAATTTTCTAGAGTTTGATAAATAACTTGAATACTACTTAAACGAGTTTCATGTACTTGATTTTCTTAAAGCGAAACTCCTGTGTTTCGAACCCTAGTTGATTTTAAACTCTTGCATAATATTTTATCGCAAATTTGGACTCCAACCAAGGAGTTACACTTGAACGTGATTTTGACAATCACTAAATCTTTGGTGAGTGTTTCCAAATACATGATTGAACTTGATACTTGATTAAATTCTTTACAAACATTATCGGATAAGATTTACTTGATTTGGTCAGGCAAGTGTGTACTTTATCGCACTTGACCTAATTCAACTAAACACTTGATATCTCATTCATGCTTGTACAAGTGGCTTGATTTGCATTGACCTGTACTTGTATTTGTACTTGTGCTTGACTTGTAAGTGCTGAGCGGCAATATGTACCACACTCGATATGAGTGGGAGATACCTCTCATTCCCGTCACCGTACTTTTCTCTTGACTAAATCGATTGATCATCGACTATAGTGACTACTTGGGAACCCAAACCCCACTGGCTAGTTAATCGAGTCGAGTCGGCAAGGGTTTGGTCGATTAGATAACAAACCATGGGTATCTAGTGTTGTCGAGTGGAGTGTTATCTTCTCGACTAATCGGTATACTCGAGTATTACCACCAGTGTTTAGTTGGTGTTCGGACCCGGTAAGGGGGTTGAATGGTGGACGAATTGGTGTTAAACGAAGCACTACTGGATCGGTTACTTTACTTGAAGATTGACGGAGTATCAACTAATACTTGATCAAACTCTGGTGAAGCAACGGAAAATTGACTCCTAAGAGCCATCTGTATCCTTATCCTTTGATTGGTATTTGTAGTGATATTGTTTCTTTTAGAAAAAAGAATTTTACACTCGCTCATTTTGAGATTTGTTACTTGAAGTGTTATTGCTCACTTTTATAGACTGGTTATGCTCGCTACTTTGCTACTTTGATACGTGAACTTTTCAATAATGGTCAACTTGCTATTTGGAATTTCACTGAATTTTTAAGTCATTCCACGCCATTTGTTTTCCTTATAGGGGGCACGAACGAGACGTGAGACTGGTACAGGCTAGCATAATCTAGTTTTTGAAAATTTTGCGATTATACTCGTACTAGTCACTCAATTAGGGATGAATGTATTGAGAACTTAAATCTTATGATATATTTAGGATTGTACGAATGCTTTGAATAGAAATGAATGTACATGTACGTTCCAAGTTAGGAACTGTTATTTCCTTTACTCTTGAGGTTGTAACTTATTTTATTTGGAGTGAGTGAGTGAATCCTGGCGAGAGTTGAGTAGGCGATCCGCTAAACCCTGGGGTACGCCCTAGGAGGAGGTGGGGTCATCACAAATTGGGAGTGATGAAGAGGGTTTTATAGCAGTTGGGATCCTCTGTGCCACAACTCGGTGGCAAATTCAGTGTCAATTCCACTTATCACGTGATGGTAGAAGAAATTTAAATAAATAACACATAACAAATTAAATAAATAGGACATTTGGCATAAATATGGAAGTGGCACTGAATTACCACCGGCACTGAGGATCTCGTGTAATTTTATAGTGTCCCAGCCACTACTAGCCATTAGTCTAGCCATTGATCAACGGCTAGTAGCTCTATTTCTCATTTAAAAAAATAAAAAGGGCTTAACTTGCCGTGCTTACAACTCTTCAAATTTTAAAAAATAAAACTACTATCCCGCCGTGCTTCGTCTTTAAATTAAAAAAAAAAAAAAAAAAATCTGTCCTGCGGCTTACAAAGCACGGGGCAATTTTATAGTTAAAAAATAGACAATTGGCCCACTGCCCTTCATAAGCACAACGGGCACATAATAGAAAGCCCGGTTTCTAATTGCCACAATTTCCCGACTTTTTTTCCCAGCTATATTCCAAGAAATTAACCACGAGTCAATAACTACCCAACATAAGTTACATAACCATGTACTAAATTTTCAACCAAGGGAAAGAAGCAAAAACAATTGTTAATACAACTGTACCATTCGTAAATGAAGTAATATCTTATTGACGCTATTTGTACAAACTCATAAAGAGGACGCAGCTATTATATGAGCCGACGTGAACAACGATCAAATATTAAACTGATGTTGAGAAGTTGTACAAGTAATTAACAAGAAGTTACAATTTGTTCAAATAATATTACAACGTTCAAAAATAGTTATACTGAGAACTGTTCCTACCCGTTTCCCTTCAATCCAACACACTCAAATACATGCTTCCACTTTCCGTCTAAGGACTATAAAAAAGTGTTACTAATTCTATTTACTAACTTGTTTAACGAAGAGTCTGACAATGGTTACTAATTCAATTTAATCAAAATGTTTAACGAAGAGATCTGAAAATGTTACTAATTCTATTTACTCAAAAGAAACAATGGTTAAACGAAGAGCTCTGACCTCTAGAGACTAGTTGTCAACTTCCTCGCAACCTGCTTAAATGACTATGAGTTTGTTTTCATAAATAATACTATTTTTGATAATCCGTAAACATGAATAGTCACCAATTTCTCAAATGAAAATCAGACCAAAGTTACACCCTTCTTGTTATGTACATTAACTTCCTACTCCCATTTGTTAAACTTTCCCTCTCTAAAGAATAACAAGCAAATACTTGGCAAATTTATTCAAATAAAGAATAAAAAGCAAATTATAGAATATATAGTTTTATATTTGTATCAAATATTTAAAAAGCAACTTTTCAACTTTTGGTCTTCTTAGATTTTCAAGTCATCTACTATCTCAAAAGTTCACAAATAAAATGTATTTTCAAACAAATTAATATGAGGTGTCGAGGGACACATTAGACAAATAGTGGGAGCTCTTTTGCGCCCAATGGGATCCACGGGGTGCTTCTATGCTGAGAAGCATTACTTCAAATGCTTACTCACCATTGAAAGAAAATCACATGAAACACATTTATCAAATTCGTCATGGACTCAATATTGCATAAGTAAATCAAGTCTACACTTAAAGTAGTCGATAGAGCTGGCTAGTCAACAGTGCATAAGCATTCAAGCATGCTCATCCAGCCATGAGCAGTCAAGCACGCTTATCAAATTAGTCATGGACTCAATATTGCAGAGGCAAACCAAGTCTATGCTATAAAGTAGCCAATAGAGCAAGATCATCAAGCTATAAGCAGTCGCACACACTCATCCAACCATGTGCAGTTGAGCATGCACATCTAGCCATGTGCATGAACTGCAAAGCTAAGCCTTCCTACTACGAAAGTGTCTATTATGAACCAAATCCACCAGTAGATCATCTCACAAGTAGGTGAGACCTAAATATGTGGGATTTACCTACTTGTGAAATGGTCTATTAGTAGATCTATCAGAAAGAATCTTGCCACCATGCTATTCACTTTCACGTACTCATCGTAACGTTACATACTCGGTCCATGTATGGGGCTTGAAACACAAATATGTACAACTTTGACAAAGTACACCAACCAATGGCAATAATTCATTAGTAAAATAACCAATAGCTTCAAAACAAATACTACCATAATATTGGTCAATGACTTTACCCAAAAAGTCATACATATATACAATTCTATTAAGGGTCTTTATTTTGCCACTTCATCACCCATTAGTGCATTAGAAGTTGATTCGGCCTCCTTATGGGTTGTCACCCAAGCGACAATTGGCCAAACCCCGAGCCTACAAAAGGCTCCCAATGGGTTGTATCCTAGTTGGTAATGAAATATTTCTGAAGGTCTTGTAATCACCTAGTTTTCATTGTAGTCAACTAGCTTTAATTGCAGTCACGCCAAAAGCAACAAGGGGCTGAGCAAACTCTAACAAGTCTTGGTAAAACCAGACGACTTCAATAAGTCCCTGAACCATTTAGCACGAGTGAGTTTTCTTGGCCGCTTCAATTTGGATACAAAACAAGACAATTTGAAGTTATCGAAGACATGCAATCTTAGCTGTAAGCCGCTTGATCAGTCAACTGATTTAACAGCCTTTTGCTTTTGGTCAACCAATTCACATTTCAACTTTCAAATTGTGACACCTAAGACTCACAAGACCAAGCTACACCAGGCAGCAAGTACCACTTGTTTGATCACAACAAGCATCAAGCTTAGCAAACAAAGTACTAGTACTTTGGAATCATATCCATATGGAGAAAGGTACCAAGAGTATGGTATCCACCATAGAATTTATCAAATTCTAAAATAAGGGACAGTCCTCTTATCCACCACCCATACACCTGAAAGTATGGGATCCGGTGGTTTCTGATTGTAGAAGTCCAATACTTTTTGTCACATAGCAACCACCCAACGGTCCAGAGGACTGATCAGCAGGTAAGAATGTTCCACTCTATAAATCATGCAGCATTTACCAAAAGATAGGTTCCAAATGACTGATTTAGATAAAATACAAGAAGAAAAAAAGGAGAAAGGTCCGGATCTCATCCAATATATGAAAAAGCACTATAGCGAATGGAAGTTCCATCATAAAACTAAGCTAGTGGATTTACCTAATCGGTTCCCATATAGCACAGCACATTACAGCATAAAAAAGAGCATCCAAACTTTGCAAGGAAAAAATAACTAGAGAAACAGATCCAGAGCAAAACTTCAATAACAAGAATTCCCGTGACACTTACATGGCACCACGAAACTTACACAACTAACACACCCAGAAATTTGGAAGCTCATACAAATTACCTGCATGTGGCCTCAGATGTTGATATTTATACTGCAAAGTTACGAAACGATAAATTAAAATATTCTTCTGGTTACACTAAGTAAACAGCACTCATTAATCAACATAAAATTTTTAAAAAAATAGTTAACATCATCGCATTCAAACTATTCCTAAAAAAGAAAATCCTGTGTTCAAAATTCTTGATATAATTAAACAAAGAAAAAGAAACAGATCAAACAAAAAAAAAACATGTTATTTACCTGAAATATTTCTGAACTAAGCGAAAGGCCTTAGCCTCCAAGTCTTCACGGTGGAAAATAGCACTCCAGAAAATATCTTCCACACACACACACACTCTCTCTCTCTCTCTCAAAAAACTAACGCAGAAAAAGAAACAGAAAATCAAAAACAGATTTTTCTTCTTTTCTGCAGAAGATTATTAGAAAAAAAAGTATGTATTCAAATAAGGCCCAGCATGAAATCAGAGTTTTGGAAACCAGAAGCAATTCAAAATGGAGGAAGAAGATGAGAAGGTGGGAGAGAGTGAGAGTGAGAGTGAGAGTGAGAGAGACGACTACTCTGACTAATGAGGGGAAGAATGAAATTTTGATGGGTTAGGACTTAGGATAGGCAAAAGGCACGATTTTTTAAAAAAATAATTTCTGAGTTCGGTTAACAAATGGCATGTGTTAAGAGTGGACCGACCGTACCCGCTCGAAGCTCTAAAAAATGTATGGGCTGAAATTGGGCCTCAGTTTTGGAGAGAGCAACGCAGGGTGGAGGAAATCTGGGAATTTTTTGGTCCGACCGTGATTATTAAAACCAGTGCTCGATGCACACTTAATGTGTGTCAAAACAAAAAAATACATACTAGTTATGGTTATATATTTTAAATAAAATTTTTATTACTGAAAAAAATTTTAATCTTTTAAATATTTTTTATAAAATAGTTTTATATTGGCAATTATATATTTATGGATAGTTATGTTGAAAACATATACTTAAATAATTAAAAGTAAAAATAGTCATGAGTAGTTATAAATAATTAAAATAAAAATAATTTTTATAGGGATAAAAAAAATTCATAAAGTGACCATAAATGTTAATCCCAATATTAACCCCAAACCCCCTTTTCAGGCTTTATATATGGTATAGATTATATGGTAAACTTTTCATAATGCAGTCTCGTGTATTTTATTCTATTCAATAATACTTTTTTTTTGTTCGAAATAATAATTTGTTGCATAAAAGAACTTTACATCTGCCATACCCCAACAATTCAGTTCACTAGATGGATTAGGAGTGGCACTAATCCATGTTTATGGTTGGAAATTGGTGTCAGAACAGCCGTACCCAACAATTGACGTCTTGAATTGAACCAAATAAGGTTGATCTAATATGGGGCACTATTTCTTTTTTAAGATTAATATCTCATATCGACCTAACTTTATTTAGCTTGATTGCGACGTAAATTGTATACCATGCAATCTTAGGTTGTGTTTGGATTGCATTTTTCGTCATTTTTCATGAAAAAATTACTGTAACGATTTGATATATGTGAGGGAAAAAGGTAAATAGGAAAATGTGACCACGAAAAACGATAATATTTTTCAACGAAAACAAGCAATCCAAACAAGGCCTTATTAGATGCCTGTGTTTTCGACCAATAGCCTTTTCAAAACAGAATTTTACTATTTGCAAATTTACCGGTGGACAATCATAATTTTATCCACGCAATACTGCATGTGGGATTAATAAATTCTAAAACGGGGTAGTCAAATAGTTATTAGTTATGTTCAGTCATATCTTGTTTTCTTATACAGTAAATTGACCAGTCGTGTGTAGCTAGGGTGACCGGTGCATCGCACTGCTCCATCACACCTCATGAACATTATCATTGGGAAGATAGTTTAAAAACTCCTACTTTTTTTTGGTAATTTACTCTGTCATGATGCATTCTAAACGGGAAACTTAAGCTAACAAAAGGCATATATAATTATCAATTATTATTGACAATTAATATATCTACAAATGTTCATATTCTAACATCACGTTAATTTTGGTAATGGATTAAAATATATATGGGCGTAAAATTTAGCCACGGTGAAGAAGTCTATTTTTTTTTTTTATTGATTGATATGATAATTTCTATTCAGCTCCTACTCTTACCCCACACTAAGATGGAGGAGTGTGTCAGGATCTCAATCTAAAGAAGAGAAAAGGAGGACTGGTTATAAAGATGAAAAAGGAGAAGAAAGAATGAGGAAAGAAATTAGAGAGAGATACAGAGGAACTAGAAATGAAAGAAATAACTTTTTTTTTTTTTTGTCAGTAAGCAATTTTTATACTAATCCTTTTCCTACTCATAACCTATCTAAGGAAAGCCTCAACTGGGCCAAGAAGGTTATAGGGAGTAAATTCACCTCCTTTACTTTGTTCTCCCTTCCCGAGTGCTCTCAGCACCCAAACCTAGAGCAGATCAAAAGACTGAGATGAATATTATTGTATTTCGAAGTAAAACTGTAAGAAACCTCGAGGAAGGTTTCTAAAATTAACCCAAAAGTTTATTGCCCCACATTTATACATTTGGTTCCTCAGATAGAACTACAAAGCTTCCAGATCAACAAGTTTCTGAACCATGGATGCAAATGCCATCCTCTCGTTCAAGTCATGAGACTCATTACAGATAAAGGTGGTAACTGAAGCATGGAAAATGTTGTCCAAGGAAGTGAGAAACAAAGGAAGATCAGAAGTTCAGTACTGTTGAATGAAGTCTTAGATGTGCTTGCTAATCTCATCAGGCTTTTCTTGGTTGATAAAGTGAGCCGCATCTTTGATTACAACTGCTTCCTCCAACAATGACACATCTTTCTTAAAGCCACCATGGTACAATATAGAATCAGTTATTTGATTAGTCTTATGCACTCATACTAGAAAATTGTTTTGTACCAGCGAACCTGAGAGGATGCCTATTCTGGTAGTTCTATGAAAGTTTTCTTCAAATCCCTTATAATACAAGCATAATGTAATGTAGACAGCATCATATAAAATCACTGAGGGAGAATATTAATCCCTACTTGCATTGTAGTATAAGAACTTAGTATAAGCATATGATCTCCAAACTTGCCACTTACTGACATTTGCTTCAAAAAGAACATTTAGGGAGTTAGGGCTGCAAGGATTTATATAATGAAAAAAGAAAGCAAGTTGACAGAACTGAGGATGTACATATAAACTTTCGAAAGATACTAAACTCCAATAATGTTGGAAGGGTAGTTACACATGATAGTAGTTTACTGATCCCATGAAGCCTGTCTTCTCAAATTTACCGACATCATCATCGGTCAACCAAGAAGGCAAGACAACTGGAGTATCAGGTGAAAGGCCAAAAGCTTTACCCTTGGGGAAGAACAGAGGATCAGGAGTTCAATATGCGAGCATATTTCTGAAAAAGTTCTTTAACAACAATCTGAGCAAGTTCAGCCTCTGCTTCACCTGGTCCCTGAAATACAAATGGACATTATATTCATCAGCTCCTCTGTGAAACCGTGACACTGTCAAGTTCTTGTAAGAATTTCCTGGTTAAGTTCTGTCACTACAACCTTTAATCCACTCTTCTGTTCCACTTTTTGCACACAAAGGAACCGTCAAAGCACATTCTTCAATTCTTTTTAAAACAAAGATAGTGTACTTCTCTTGCTTTGTCTGCATATAAGTTGCCTGGCTAAGTTCGGTCACTACATCATAGCTTCTTCTTGTTGATCAATTTTTGTAGTTTCTGGAACGTGTCCCCCTTTGGCTATAATGTCTGCAGGATTTTAGGCAGAAAAAGATATCAGGGACATTTATCAACAAATAGACAAAAGAGCAAAGAACAACAGCTCCTTATTATTCATTAAATCATCAAGGATTCAAGTAGTATAACTAGTACAAATATGGAAATGCTCCTACTTGAATTCGTGTTTACCTAGTTCTTTCTACTTGTTGACATTTCGAAACCTGGGCTCAATTCAAATAAATCTTAGACCCAAAAAAAAAAAGTTCTTTCAATGACTGTGAAAAAAATAATCAATCTTCAAGATCTGGTATCACTATCTTTAATAATGTACTTCGATTCCATAACGCGATACAGTACATATGAAAAAAAACTTATGACTGAAGACTATAGAAAATTATGATACTCTTATAAATTTGACCAAACAAGAAGTTAAACAAGAAAGATTATAAAAACGTGGGTTCCATCAATTCCAAAAGTCCAAACAAAAAACAATTTAGTGAAGAGTATAAAAGTGAACCTGAAATCTGCCCATGAAGTAATCATCCCCCTATGCACTCCTCAAGCTTTCGACCAAACTGCATAATGGATTCCTCGGGTAAAAGGCAACACTCGAGCTAACCAAGTCATTGATCTTATCAGACCTAAACAAGCATAAATGCGAAGCAACAATGCACCCCAGTCATGACCAACCACAAACACCTGCTCTTCATGATCCGGTCCAATAGCTTGAAGGACAGCTATGAGGTCTCCAACTACATGAATGGTGCTGAACTTTGAGCTATCATTAACAGGTGCGCCGGTGGTATCGCCATAGCCACGGAGGTCCGGAGCTACAGCTCGATAGCCACGAATTGCCATGAAGAGGATCTGGTGGCGCCATGAGTACCGGAGTCCTGGAAAACCATGAGGAAGAGAACTAAAGGGCCTGCAACAAGCTCTGCTATGTGCATGTTTATGCTACTCGCACGTATACTCTTGCTCTCTATGTTGTCCATCTTTATCTCTTTCGTTTTCCCTCTAGAGGATGTGAGAAAAAAAATTCTGACTCAAGCACTTATAAAGAAAGTAATGCGGAAGTTTGATTTTGGTAAAGAGTTAAGGATTTTCATCGCAATAGCACCCATGAAATGTCTCGAGTCTACTAACTGTGGATGGTAATCTTCCAAAAAGAAACTGATAATTTATATGGGTTGAGAAGACCAAGTAATATACATGACACAAATACTTAAAATACATATTCTAGTCCAACATGTCATGCTAGATAAACTCATAAAAGCGTTCCTAAAACAACTAAACCTTATCTAAATCATGTTACTTTTCGCGAATAACAATCCACTTGTTTGTTTTCTGCTACCACTATTTCGGTTAAAATGTGTTAGAATACTATATCAGTATGCCAAAAGTTGCTACTTATCCATAGTGGATGCCACAACTGCTCCCATATAATCCACGCACAAGGTGAAATGCAGAAGGTATATACATCAATGCGTTCTTCAGCAAATATTTCTTCGCCGTAAAGTGAGCTAGCAAGGCAGAAGTGAGGGCTCAGGGATTGTAGGAGGCGGTCGATCACGGTTATACCTGGCAATTCCGCCGGTTGGACGGGTTTTGGGCGGGTTAATATTAGATTTTCACTTAAATTGGTTATATCCAACCCGCACCAACTTTAGATTGGGTTGATTTTGGGTTGGGTCATATTGGGTTATCTCAAATCCATGACCCAAATATGACCCAACAAATTAATTAATACATTTTAATATATAAACTTTTTCACATACATTTTAACACACAAAA